TAAGGAGGGCAAACAACCAACATTCTACAGTGTACTGTGTTGCTAAGCTGTGATGTCTGGTGGATTAGGTATATTACATGAATTTTCAGCTTACAGTATTTTCAGTTTACTTGGGTTTGTCAAAACAGAACCCCATCATAAGTGGAGAAGCTCCTCTACATTAATTTTATTTTATCATAAATGTATCCAATTTAAGTACAATAATATTAATGTGCATCCAGTACATTAAGAGCAGCACGGTATTTCCAAAGGTATACATCGTGTAACCACTATCATAATAAAGACAGAGCATTTCCATCATTCTAGAAAATTCCTTTCTGCCACTCTGTAGCCAACCCTCCCACCCACCCTGGCCTCAGGCAAGCACTGATCTGCTGTCACTATATAACTTACTTTTGGTGTCTTTTAAAATTTCATGGAAATGCAATCGTAATTTTGAGTCTGGCTTCTTTTCATGCAGCATAATGTTTTTAAGAGTCACACAATTGGGGGTATCAGTAATTTATTTTTTAAATTATTGAGTTGTCTTTAATTATATTGGACATATCATGATTTATGTATCTATTCTCTTGTCAATAGATACTTGAATTATTTCCAGTTTGGGGCTATTGTGAATAAAGATGCTATAAACATTCACGTACAAATTTTTCTGTGATAATACATTTAAATTTCCCTTGAGTATATAACTGAGTAGAAATACTGTTATGTAATGCATGTTAACATTGTAAAAATCTGCCAATCTGCCAGGTGCAGTGATATGTGCCTGTAATTCCAGCTACTCCAGAAGCTGAGGCAGGAGAATCTCAGGTTCCACAGCAACCTGGAAAATTTAGTGAAATCCTGTCTCAAAATAAAGATTTAAAAAGGGGTAGGTTTGTAGTCATGGTAGAGTGCTTGCTTAGTATGTACAAGGCCCTGGGTTTGACCCTTAGTACTGAAAAAACAAATCTAAACGAAACAAAAGCTGCAAGTCTGTTTTCTAAAGTACTTTTCCCACCAGAAATGAATAAGAGTTCCAATTATGTCATATCTCCATCAGTACTTGGTATTTTTAGTCTTTTTTTTTTCTTTTTGGTAGTTGTAGATGGACAGCATGCCTTTATTTTATTTGTTTATTTTTATTTGGTGCTGAGGATTGAACCCAGTGCCTCACACATGCTAGGCAAGCACTCAACCACTGAGCCACAACTCTAGCCCCTATTTTCAGTCTTTTTAATTTTAGCCATCCTGGTGTGTATGTATCTCAATGTGGTTTCAATTTGCATTTTTCAGTTGGTTAATATTATTGGGCATGTTTTCATTTGTTTATTGACCATTTGTATATCTTCTTTAATGAACTATCTGTTCAAATTTTATGTGTATTCATTTTTATACCTAAAATTTTTATATTAAAAATTTTGTGTCAGGTATAGTGGCACATGCCTGTAATCCCAGCAGCTCGGGAGGCTTAGGCAGGAGGTTCAAAGCCAGCCTCAGCAAAGGCAAGTC